GAAAAGTCATTGTATGAAATTAAACTTATTCATGGTAAAGTTTTTAGAAAACAAGAGCTTAAGGGAATTTTCCGTAAACACCCCCCCCCCCAAAAAAAGAGCCTCTACAAAAAAGTTTGTGAACATTTTTACTTGATGGTAAAAGGTAAGAAGTATCCCCACCTCAGAGGTCCTAGCCAGTGTGTTATAATGGAATGAGTTATGATTGTCAGAGTAAATAAAAAATTGTCATTAATAAAGATACTGATATTACAAAAAATCCAGGAAAATCTATAGTCAGAACTAACAAGTGTTATAGCTAACAGGACTGGTAAGCAAATTCTTGGGATCCAAAATCAGCATATAAAAAGCAATAGCAGAAAATTCTTGAAAACTCATAATCCTAGACACATCATGAGAAAAAATTAGACAAATTCACCAAGAGACATTCTATAAAATATCTTACTAGTACTTCAAAACTGCCAGTCATGAAAAGCAAGGAACTACTGAGAGGCTGTCACAGCCCAGAGTTGCCTAAGGAGGAGTAACAATGTGTCCTGGATAGGATCCTGGAACAAAAGGAAGACACTTACAGAAAAACAGGTAAAATCCAAATAAGGTCTGTAGTTTAATGAATAGTACTGTACTAATGTGATTTTTTTCGTTTTCATAGTGAACCGAGGTTATGTAAGATGTTAACATCAGGGGAAACTGGGTGAGGGATCTTTATAGTATCTTTGCAACTTTCCTATAAACCTGAGGTTATGGGACGCCTGGGTGGCTCAGTGGTTGGGTGTCTGCCTTCTGGCTCAGGGCATGATCCTGGAGTCCCGGGATTGAGTCCCACATCCAGCTCCCTGTGTGGAGCCTGCTTCTCCCTCTGCCTGTGTCTCTGCCTCTTTCTTTCTCTGTGTGTCTCTCATAATAAATAAATAAAATCTTTGAAAATAAATAAATAAGTGAATAAATAGACCTAAAGTTATTTTTTTTAAAAAAAGTTAAGCCACCTTATAACACCAGAATAACTGATTAGCTAAGTAATAGGAAAAAAGACCTCCTAAAATCAAATGAAATTCCAATAGGGTATTTTTCTCAGGTTTTTTTTTTTTAAGTAATATCTACACCTGATGTGGGGCTTGAATTTACAAGCCCAAGTGATCAAGAATCGCATGCTCCACTGACTGAGCCAGCCAGGCGCCCTTACAATAGTGTAGTATTTCATCAAACTTGACCAGCTAATTCTAAAAGTCATTTGAAGATGGAAAGCTAATAGTCAAAGACACTTGAAAAGCAAGGTAGGTTATATACCTAATAGCAAGATATTGAAAGCTATCACAATTACTATGATGTGTTAACACACAGACATAGACAAATGGGCCAGTGGGACAGAGTTTAAAAATAGGCCTACCCATATACAGAAATATATAAGAAGAAAAATTAGATCCCTATCACAAAACACAGAAAATTAAACATAAAAACTTCAGGCTATTAGAGTATCTTTATGACTTCAGTGTGGAGAGGGATTTCTTAAGGTATTAAATGCAGAAATATGAAGGAAAAGATTGTTAAATTTTATAGCACCAGTATTTAACACTTCCATAACAAAGGATATTGATTGCTTTTCTTTTAACTTGTTTATGGTATGTATTTTAGACATACTTAAGTGCGACTGGGGTAGGGAATGGGAGATAATTCAAGCTGGAAATGACATCTTACTTGCCTTTAAAGATCACCCTGGATGTTATGTACAGAATATAAGGAGGGAAGAGTTTGGAGTAGAATTAGGTGATCCAAGTGAGTAGGCTAATAACCAGAGGAAATCATGGTGATTAGGACTATCACACAGAGGGGAAACATTGGACAAATGTGGGATGGCTTAGATGTAGGGTCAGCAGGACTTGCTGATGAATTAGATGGTGACAGGCAAAGAAGAATCAAGAACAATTATGAGATTTTTGGCTACCAAATCTGGTGCTGTTTATAGAAATACATAGAATTATAGATTGAGAAAAAAGAAAATTAAATATTTGTTTAAAAAATATTTGTTTTAAATGCTTTCAGTTCCTGTTAGGTATTCAGGTAGAGCAGTCAGTTATTCAACAGACAGAGGAGATTGAGCTTCCGTGGAAAGTTCTGTGGCAGAGGATTTAAATGTGGGAGCTGTTGGCATCTAAGTGATATTTAAACCATGCCACTCGCTGAAACTGCTGCCTAGGGAGTGGACGTTGATGAGGAAGACTAGTGATTGAGTTCTGAGCATTTAGAGGTTGAACAGAGCAGATGCCAGCTAAGATGATGGAGAATAGGCCATTGAAAGCCAGGGTGGTGCAGTGTCACCAAAAATAAGATAGCGTGGGTTTTTGTTATTGTTGCTTTTACTGAGGATATTGAATGTTACTGAAAGATCAGGTGAGATGAAAATCAAGTTCCCTTGCTGTATAGAGAATTGGTCAGAAGTTTTAGCGATGTGGAAGGGGATGGAAGCACGTAAGGCACGGTAGAGGGAGAGAATGTGCAGTAAGACCGTTGAGTTAGCTACAGAAGTCCACTCTATCAAAAGAGTTTTGGGGGAGTGTGGGAGGAGGGGTGCCTGAGGAAAGGGGTCATAGCTGGAGGAGCTCAAAAGGCATGTGGTATCTGAAGAGAATGAATGATCCAGTGTCAGAGAGATACTTATATTGCAGATAGAGGCCTTTGAGGAAAGAGAGGATGGGGTCCAGTCCATAGAATGTCTTAAAGATCACCTTCAGAACCTTAACCAGACATTAGCATCACCTTGGGAGCTCCAAAACAAACACTTCTGTGGGACCCTGGGTAGCTACAGTGTGTAACAGCTCCCCAGGTGATCCTAATGGATAACAAGTTGTGAAAACCTGTGACCTGGGGGTAGTACCACATTCACTTGCAGCCGGTGCCTCTAGAATTTTTGTAGAGGCTGCTGGGGAATGTTTCAAAGGTGCATAGCAAACACAACGTTTTAATTCAGATTTTATGTTTACTGTGGCATGGCTGGCTGAGAACTGTTGAAGACTGGAGTTTAAAGCATGCCCATCCCAGCCAGTAGCTTCTTAATGTAACAAGTAACCACTGATTTCTATTTATACTAAGTATAAACAGAAAATTTAATTTTGGGCATCATATTCTGTGTGTTTATAGGTAACCTGCTTTTTATAATGAATTATTTTACGAATTTTTCCTTTAAAAAATTAAAATCCTACATTTTTAATTGCCACAGAACATTGCAGTGTATTGATTTTCCAGGATACAATTTAATTCTGCAGAGTATGCTTTTCTAATAAAAAATGATGCCCCATGAATATGCTTGCATATAATCTTTAATACATTGCTGTTTATCTTCTTTGCTTTAGTCCTTTGAGAGCGGAATAGTTGGATCAAAGAATATATTAATTAACTTCATATAATTCATTGATTTTACTATTAGAAAAGAAATTCGTATTTCTGTCAAGGATATTCAAGCAGTATGGGTTGGAGAAGGGAAAAAAATCATTCCTTCACCCCCTCCCCCCCAATTCCTTTTCCCACCAGGTAACCAGTTAGAGGTTTCTTGTATTCGTTTGTGCAAGTTTTATCTGCAGATGTGTTCATCCTTAACAAACAAATGAAAACACTTACCAGCTCATTCCTACAACTTGAGCAATTTGTGTGTTTATCTAACTCTAGGAGTCCTCGGTCCTTCCTAGTCCCAAACCGCTGCCCTTCACAGTTGTCCCGACCTATCGACCCCTCCCTGGTGTCATCTGTGGGTCGGAGGTGTGCTGCCCAGCCCTGCGGGGTCTGCGGAGCGGCTTGCAGAGAGCTGCGGGTTCTATCCCGGGTCTGTCCTGGGCTCTGTACAGGTCGGTGCTGGGCACCGGCAGGGTCTGTGCAGATCTGTGCAGGGACCTGTGTGGGGCAGGGTCTGCGGGGATCTGTGCAGGTCAGTGCCGGGTGCCGGCGGGGTCTGCCAGGAGTCAGTGCTGGGTGCCGGTGGGGTCTGCGGGGGTCTGTGCGGGGACCTGTGTGGGGCAGGGTCTGCAGGTTCCGTGCGGGGCGCCGGTGGGGTCTGTGTGGATCTGTGTGGGGTGCCGGAGGGGTCTACGGGGCTCTCTGCAGGTCAATGCCGGGTGCAGGCGGGGTCTGCAGGGGTCTGTGTAGGATCTATGTGGGGCAGGGTCTGCGGGGATCAATGCAGGTCTGTGCGGGGCGCTGGTGGGACCTGCAGGGGTCTGTCGGGGGATCCGTGTGGCGATCTTGGAGGGGGGGTCTGTGCAGGGCGCTGGCGGGGATGTATGGGGGAATCCGTGCGGAGATCATGCACGTCTCTGCGGGGCACTGGCAGGGATCTGCAGGGGGATTTGTGGGGTATCCTCTGGGAGATCCACGCGGAGATCCACGCACCGGCTCATTCGCGTTGTCCGCCTCGCCCAGCTTGGAGGCAGTGGGAGTTTCTGTGGCGGGTCTGCCAGCCATTTGACTCTTACCGCGAAGTGCTAGCATCCTTCCTGGCTGCCCAGGTTTCTGGTCTGGTTGCTCTTTCTCGCACTGGTTTCCCAGAGCTCTTCGTTTACAGAGGGAGCTAGCCCCGTGTCTGTCCAGTGTCCCAGGCGGAAAAGTGCCGTCTCCCACTTTCTCGTTTGTCTTTACCCTTCGACATACACGGTTTTGCCCGCCAGATTTTCACTTTTTGGACAAATGTATTTTTTTTTTCATTTTCTTCATTGGTTTTGTGTTTGGGAGTCGTTAGTTGGCCCTTCTCCATGCCCCCCCCCTTTGTGTGGGGGTCACATCCACTCGCCCCCTCCCCCCAGACCCTCTCTGGGGCCCCTAGTGTCAGCTCAGTTGACGTCAACCTCCTGCCTTCGCGCCAAGCTGTCGGCACGGCAACCATAGCCTGATTGGCAGGGCCCAGAGGCGTGGCGAGGGGCCCGGGGTGGGAAGCTCGGCCGCTGATTGGCCCACACTGGAGCCCCGCCTCTGCGGAGAGCCTGACAAGGAGATGCACGCAGAGGCTCGGTGCAGACGACGGGAGCTGCGGGAGGACGAGGTCGGAGTGGAAGAACGGGCATGTCCACCTTGGGCTGGTGGCGCCGCAGGGCGCCAGGAGCCCTGTGGGTGTGCTAGACCGTCCACGCGGGCTGCGCCCCGGTCGGCTCTGAGGCAGTGTGGTGAGGGGAGGTGAGTCGGGCCAGTCCCCATCAGTATGATGTCAGGAGGCAGCGCGGCGGTCACACGCTGCCGTCCAGGGCCCGGGTCAGCGGTGCGGGGGACGGCCGGCGGACTTTGCCTGGCGGGGTCCTCCCTCCGCGGGCCCAGGGTCCGGGTTGCCGCACTTGCCGCGGGCGCCATCTTGGTGGCCCGCCAGGGTCCTGGTGACGGGCCCTCCCTTTGAGGGGCCGCAGAGCGGGGGCACTGCTGCGCCATCTTGCCTGGTGGAGGTGGGGACAGGGGCGGGCTGGGCACTGGGGGACTGCTGGGCGGCCTAGTCTCAGGGTGCTCCCTCCGTCCTCGGCTGGGTCTGGGGGCTGCCGGCCACTATATCCATCCCGCGGCATCCCTGACAGGATGGGTCCCTCAGGCTGTCCCTGCATCCCTGCCCGTCCTTGGGGGCGGGGCCTGTTTTGCCGCAGTGGCGGCGGGAGGAGCCACAGGCTGCAGGGGGCGGGGCTGAGGGCTTCGTGCCTCCAGGGTACTTTCTCTGCGTGGTGGACAGGGTGGGAGCCCCCCTCACAGCCTGCCCACCCTGGCGCCACCTTCGGTGTGGGCGGTAGAGTTGGCTGCACAAGCGCTCTTCTCATTGGCTGTCTGTGGGCTGGGGCGGGGCCAAGGGCTGTGGAGATTGCGGCTCGCCTGGGCTACGATGGTCTCGTTGGGCCCCGCCCGCCCTGGCGCCATCTTCGGTCTGGGCGGTAAAGTTGGCTGCACAGGCGCTCTTCTCATTGGCTGTCTGTGGGCTGGGGCGGGGCCAAGGCCTGTGGAGACTGCGGCTCGCCTGGGCTACGGCAGTCTTGTTGGGCCCCGCCCACTTTGGCGCCATCTTTGGTGGGGTGGCCGAGGTTTGCCAAAGCGCAGGCGCGATGGTGGCTGGCTGGCCACAGTGGGGGATGGGGCTAAGGGGCTCTGGTGGCCGTGGTGATCCTGTGTTCTATGCAGTGATTGAAGGCTGCGGGGTTTTGACTACGTAGCGCCTTCTTTGCTAGTTGAGGGTCTGGCTTTAAAGACTTGCCGTGATGTGGGGTCTGGACTCAGACTTTTGAGAATGGGCCACGGTTAGTGACTGGGGGGCCGTATTACTGGCCGGGTCCCTGCGTGTGGTCTGGAGAAGCCAGGCATTGTGTCTGAAGTTTGCTCCGGCGGCCGGCACCGCCGTAAAACCATTAGTCCTGAGGGACAGGGCTACAGGCCGTCGGGATACCCTCTCCTTGTCCCGGGCCACCGTTCACCTATTGTCTGGGGACAGTTTTCACCTTGAGTGTGTCTGGCCCTATCTTTTGGCTGGAGATGTGTTGCGCCGGCCCTGTAGGGGTGGGGTCAGACCTGCGAGGCCCTGCCCACTTTGGCATTCTTTTTGTTGGCTGGCCAGTGGCAGCCGAGACTTAATGCGCAGGCGCCATCTTGAATGATAGTGTGCCTAGCCCCGGGGTGCAGGGTGGATCCAAGGGGAGGGGCTCCAGAACTCTGTCCATTCTAGTACTGCTTGTTGGCCGGCAGGTGGCAGCCGAGATTTACTACACAGGCGCCATTTTGAGTGACAGTGGGGATGGCCGCAGGAGGAGGGGTGGATCCAAGGGGAGGGGCTCCAGAGCTCCGCTCACTCTAGTACCATTTGTTGGCCGGCAGGTGGCACCGAGACTTATTGCGCAGGTGCCGTCTTGAGTGACAGTGGGGCTGACCGCAGGAGGAGGAGTGCATCCAAGGGGAGGGGCTCCAGAACTCCGCCCACTCTAGTTTGTTTTTTGGCCGACAGGTGGCAGCAGAGATTTACTGCACTGGTACCATCTTGAATGACAATGCTGCTCCCCGCGGGGGGGGGGGGGCGGGCCCCTAGTATTATTTGTTGGCCGGCTGGTGGCAGCTAAGACTTACTGCACAAGCGCCATCTTGATTGACTGCCGCTGGCCATGGGGGGCAGACCCAAGGGAAGGGGCTGCGGAGCTCTGCCCACTCGCGCACTTATGTTGATCAACAGGTGACAGCTAAAGCTTACTGCACAGATGTCACCATGAGCGATGGTATTGCTGGGAGCTGACCCAGCGGAGGGCTTTCGTGTATTAAGTGACTAACAGAAGACTGTAAAGTCCTACCCTTTGGATGGTTAGGTTTGTTGGCTTGGGGTGGTTCCCCGAGGCTTATTGCATCGGCCCCATCTTGAATGATGGCAGAGCTGCGGCAGGGGGTAGGGGGGCTGAGGGAGGGGCTGTCTTGTCCAGCAAGACCGACGGTCTACCGACACACATCCGCCCTAGTGCTCTGTTTGGCCAGTAGTTGGCTGCCGAGGCTGACTGTGCAGGCGCCATCTTGAGTGGCTGGCAGAGCTGCAGGGGGCAGTGGTAAAGGAGGTGTTTTCTCGTCCTGAGTGATGGAACTGCAGACCTCTGCCTGTCCGTGTGTGGTGTTGGCCAGTAGGTGGCTGCCGAGGCTGACTGTGCAGGCGCCATAGCGAAGGACCAGGGAGTTGCTGGGAGTGGCCTGAGGGTGGGGCTGCCTTGTCCTTGAGTGACTAACAGCAGCTACGGAGCCCTGCCCACCTTTCCTGGCCTAGAGGAGTCTGAGGTTTGCTGTGTGGGCGCCAATGTGGCTGGCCCAGAACATTTGCTGCAGTGGCCACACAGCATGGCGGCAGGCACAGTGTTTCCTCAGAAGGATACCAAAGCCATACTCGGGCACTGGGGGCAGGCTCACCTGTGCAGTTCTGAGAATCAGTCTGAAATACTTGGGTTCAGATTTAGATATTTTAATAGGTTTCGGGAAGGGCAGGGTCTCAAGTAAGAAAACAGAAGGAGGGCTGTGGACATAAGTTTTGGGGTTTGGAGGGTCTGAGGGCAATATGGAGTTTACACAGAGAAAAAGGTCTAAACGCCTATGAACTAACTGGACAATTCAGAGCCGAGGATCGTTAGAAGAGGGGCGTGGCATGGGAGATTATGGAGAGGAGGCTCCCTTGGCAGGTCAGGATGTGGTTTGGTGAGGGAGGGTGTGGGACCTCTGGAGGGGCAGAGCTTCCTGGAGCTGTGGGGCAGGGTTGCGCATGTGCAGAGCCCTTTGTGGCACTGTCACCGCGTTCTCTGGAGGAGAGCAACATTTCCAACACTGAATTAGCTTTCACCATGTTTCTTTACATACATCCTGGACTCCAAAAGGGGGGGTCTCTTCTAGTCCTAGCTCCAACAAAGGAGCTTGTTAGTCCCCACCCTTTTTTTTTTTTTTGGATGTAGTAGGGAAGGTAACATGTTAGATTATTCCTTCCCAACCAGGTGGTGAGGGAAGATTAAGTATGTACATCCACTGGTGAATATTATTATTGATATATAGTAGAGGCATAGTCGTGAAGATACTTCCTCTAGGTGCTTCTAATTGATTGAACACATGCTCAGGCACAGTAAGACTTGAAATAGGAAGTTTTTTTTTTTTGTAAAAATTTATTTACTTATTTATGATAGACATAGAGAGAGAGAGAGAGAGGCAGAGACACAGGAGGAGGGAGAAGCAGGCTCCATGCCGGGAGCCGGACGTGGGACTCGATCCTGGGACTCCATGATCATGCCCTGGGCTAAAGGCGGGCGCCAAACCGCTGAGCCACCCAGGGATCCCCTGAAATAGGAAGTATTAATCCACTGGGAGCATGTTGATAATCTTTAAAATGTTATATAAGGTTAAGGCATGATGTTACTACCTGATGATAGTGGTACTAAAGTCCTAATAGAAGTAAGTATCTTCATGTTACTTAAATTTGCAGTAAAGTTAAGTTTCTGGTCCTGCATGATTGACTATTGAATGGCAAAACTGGAGTTACAATTTTACATATTCTTGCTATTCCATATGGACTCCATGGGAAATGTCAGTAGATGTTCTGTTTTTCAAAATGAAAGTAGGTTGATTTATAACAGTCTGTCATGAGATCTAAGATTGAGTTCTCTGAGCATCTGCTTTTCTCTAAAGTGAGAATCAGAAAGTTAAGTGTTGTGGTGAAGAGTGACAGAGACAATAAAAGTAAGATGTTAAGCACTGTAAGGCATGTAGTTAGTAAGTAATGATACTATAGCCATTTTTCCTCCCAATTTTTGCCTACAACATGCATCCTTTGCTTTTAGAGGGACAATCAATGTCACATAGTTAATAAATGGGAAGTTGGATTCTTGGATTGGTTTCTTAATCCAGAGCACTGTGTCTTTACAATTTTGCTGTGCTTGTTAGAAAGGATTCTGGGGGCAGCCCCGGTGGCTCAGGGGTTTAGCGCTGCCTTCAGCCCAGGGTGTGATCCTGGAGTCCCGGGATTGAGTCCCACATCAGGCTCCATGCCTGGAGCCTGCTTCTCCCTCTGCCTATGTCTCTGCCGCTCTCTCTCTCTCTCTATGTGTGTGTCTCTCATTAATAAAATAAATAAAATCTTTTTTTAAAAAAAAGGATTCTGGGATACTCAGAAATTGACTTGCATACCCATTGACAAAACCTCATTGGGAAAAGGCTGTAATGACAGTCCAAGATACAACATGTCACACAGGGAGCAGTCCCAGTGGGCCCTTCCATCCTGGGAGGGAGAGTTCTCCTTCCTGGTCTCATCTGACCTCTGCCACTGGAGGAAATGAAGATGCACGTGTTGTGCAGTCATTTTCAGCCTGAGGAATCTGGTATATATACAAAGTAAATTGGTGTCTCATGTTTTCTTTTTCTTCTGCAGCTTTGCCTTTTCCAGCTTCTGCCCTTCTCAGAGACAGCCATCAAGAGGAAGAGGGGACTAGGTGCAAATACTAGGTGGCCAGGCCCAGGTGAGCTGAATTCCCTTCTCACAGTGCTGTACCATCCTTGGAGTGAACACATTCTTCCTCATCCTGACACTTTCCTACTGCATATGTGTTCCATATAGCCATGCAAGTGCCATTTGTGCTCTGAAAATTCAGACTCCTCTGGTGAATTCTGTGTTTGCCAGAAACTTTCTTTGGCCTCATGCTATCCTTTTCAGTTTCCTACTTCTATTTCCAATACTCAGCTGCACCTTCAGGCCTACTCTTTCTCTCTTGTCGGGTGATTAAAGAAGTATGAGAGATTCATCTGTTCATCTATCAAACATGGCCCTGAGTAGGAAAGGAAGTGTTTTCCTGGAGCTCGTAGTCTATTGGGTAATGAAAAATGTTGAAAAAATAATTGTATCATTCATGTCTTTGAGAGAGAACATTGACTATGAACAGTTAACCTGAAAAAGGCCATGTAGGGCCTTCCTGAGAAGGTCATTGAGGCTAAGTCTGAGCTCTGTAGAGGGAGGATGGTAGTCTTAAGCAGGGGGGACAGAGGCATTCTAGAGATAAGAGCCAAAAGTCTAGGATACCTGGAGCAAAGGAAAGAATTGAGTGGCATTTGATCAAAGTGGGGAAAAGCCATTTGGAGCTGTGTTGTGAAAGGCCTTGCAGTGAGAGGTAAGTATATGGGCTTGATATGAAGCATAGTGGGAAACCATTGAGGTGTTTTAGCCATGAAAGTAACCTGGGAATCAGCTTTGTGTTTTAAACATACCATATGGTTGTGGGGTCCAGAAGGGGGGAGTGTGGAAACAGTGGTTGCAGGGAGACCACCTCAGGTCTGGGTGAGATATGATGGCTTGGTTTCAGGTCAGAGCAGGGGGGATAAGTGAAGTGAATGGATTTGAGAGACGTACTAGGAGACTCAGTAGGGCTTGTACTTTCTTCCATGGCTTGCAGATGAGATATAGTGAATCATATTGTGTGGGAAAGTGAGAAAAAATAACAAAGGTTGTTCATTCCATCAGAATGGACATTCCATGTCCATTTGGACATCCATAATGTCCAAACATGGACATTATGCCCAATCTGGGACAGGACTGTGCTAGACTTTGTGTCCTTGGAAGTGGGTAATATAATCACTGGCCTGAGTGTCTACTGAATGAGAACTCTAGTTAAATGAACAGTAAGGAAACATGCTTACCAACACAGGTGTCTATGCTGATGGTATATTACCATCTGGAGAAAAGCTCACATATTGTTCCAGGTGGGCCCCATGGAATGGATTAGTTTATTCCTAGCCTCAGTGTATGCTCCAAGTATCCAATGTCTGGTACTTAAGCCTGTGAAGACTCAGAAACCTAACTTTAGCTAAGGACTCATCTTACATTAGTAAGTCCACATGAATGAAACTCAGGAGACTTACAGATACTCTACTGACATATTAGTTTACGTTGAAAAATAGTGTGACTAAAGTACAGCGTTCCTTTATTCTCAATTTTGGTTCATCAAATTATGGTGGGAGATAACTACAGTAGTGACCCAAATGCTCAGAAGTACGTATGATCAGCAGATTCTCTCCCTGTAGGCAGACCTATATGGGAAACGAATTAGTGAGAAGGTTGCTGGGTGAGTATGGAATGACAATGAGAGGATGTGGACAGGGTTTAATAGCACTGACCTATAAGGTAGCCTGGTGCCACCATCTGGTTGCATTGAAGCTCTTGGGAGGGTTACTAGGACATCAGAGGCCCCCTATCTACAGTCCCCTTCCTCCCTAATTTTATTCAAATTAGGTCTGAACAGAGTAGCCCTTTCCTGTACGTGATTAGATGAACCGTGCTTTGTGTCCTGCCTTTTCATGCCCTTCCTCTTTTAGGGAAAAAAAAAAATCTGATCAGCTAATTACTGACATTAAAATACGTTTAGATAAGTCAACCTGGCTAAGAAGACATTCTCTTTAAAGTAGCTTTATTCATTTGCAACTATTTGGGATCTGATCATTAAACTGAACTCTTAGATACTATTTTCCTCTCTTCTGAAATTTTTTGGGGAAACCCCACAAGAATGGACAACAACAAGGAAATTTTGCTGCATTGTGGTAAGTGCTGAGCTTATGTGATAGAGGTAAGCCCAGGGTAATGTGGAGATTACCTGACAGGAGCCATCCAAAAGACCAGAGGGTGGAGATCGTGGCCAGTGTGGTAGGAAGAGTGGTCATTTCCTCTTCGCTGACATTCCCATATAAAATTCATCCCCCAGCAGCCCCTGTTGTCCATATGCTCCTGTTCATGGCCGATTGAACAAGACCAGACCCCTAAACCTAGAGCAGCGGTTCTCAAAAGTATAGCTTCTTAAGTGCTTCTTGGAATGCCTCTTTCAAAGAAGCACAGACCTCCTAAATCGAAACACCTGGAAAGGCAAGTACATATTTCATAAGTATCTCAGATGGCTTTTGGCACCAAGTTTGAGAACCACTACCCTAGAAGAATTTGAGCCATGGTGTGCGCTTATAGATTTGGAAAGCTTGGGTTGCTTAGTCTGTTGGCCCTGGGTGCTTCACCGGGAGGTGAGGTAGGACTGGGTCGGGGGCAGCATTTACCCATATACATGCTGAAGTAGAGAATGTCGGTCTGCAGAAAGAGGCAGGAGACTGGAGCAAACGAGAAGAGAGAGGAGACCGCACACCATGCTGTCCCTGAGAAATGAAGAAAGTAACTGCCTCGCTTCCTGACTTTAAAGTTCTCAATTCCAGCCCCCTCGGATGAGGTAGGTAGAATGAGTGAGGGGGCTGAATCTAGGTGCACCATGAGAGGGATCAAAGTAAGTAAGTATAGATGGGCTTGGAGAAGCTCTCATGGAGCTTCTGTCTCAACTGATGGGATATGGGAAGCCCAAGGTCAAACCAGTGGGGTCCTGGGATTCCTTGATCTCTCCTTACATATCCCACTCACATCTCCAATCCTCTGCTCTGTGTTCTTTAATTGAGTTCTTCCCAGTTTAGTTGAACTCTTGACCCAGTGATCCTTTGATTGAGGCGAAAGACACCCCCATTCATGCCTGATGAATTCCATCTTTGTTATGTTGTGAGACCCATATTTTTGTTTTCTGTTCATGAAATGGAAAAGTAAAGTGTTTTAAAACATTTAAATAGCACAAAAACCACAAAGGCAACACTTGTCTTGGCAGCAACACAGTCCTGTGGTTTTAGGTGATCAAGTTCATGTCTGAAATTTACTCAGATGCTTATGCATACCACATTACCTGGTTAGATATCTAATATATATAAGAACAGATATTTGGAGCTTAAAGAATAGTTAGAAATCCATAAGCTCTTCTGCCCAGGGTGGAGAGTGAGACTGGTTTCTGTCATTTGTCTCCTCTCTTTCCCTCTTCTTGGAATTGGTGGTCTTCTTGGCACCTGGTCCCTTTGTGTCTCTACCTTGGCTCCTGTTTGCCAAATGTGGTCAGACCTTTTAAGATCCTGCCCTTGACTACTACTTAACCCACTTACTACAGAGAGCAGAGGGAAATGCAGAATGTTCAGTAACTAGGGGCCTGTGAGGGTCCACTTCCAAGTCAGGAAATGAAGGTGATAGTTTGGGCATATGGCCAGAATTCAGTTTGAGTTGTGAGACAGAGGGGAGGGCTTTTGTGTGGAGCGCCATCAAGTGGTGCACAGGCTTGAGTGGAGCTGTATACAGATAGTAGAGGACTCCATGGGAGCAATGTGAGGTGGCCTGAGGGGGAGATGAAGTGTCAGAATAAGCAGGGGCCATGGACTGAGGACCATCACAACAGAGGGAATGTTGATAAACAGTAACAAGCAGAAAGGAAAAGGAAAGACAAAGAGGAATTGAATTTACTTCCAAATTTTTTATTCAAAAAATTTTTGATTGTGAACTCAGGATAATACTTAAACTAAAATATAAAAAGAAATGGAAGTATATTTTATTATTTTTTTATTTTCCCTGGTTTATGAATAGTCTCTATACAAGTTCATATGGAACTTTTCTTCTGGTTTAGTTTATATGTACTTCCATATGTTTAAATATCTATGTAGTTGTTTTAGCATGTTTTTATTTTAACACAAATGAGAGCACAATTCATTAATGTTTCATACTGAAGCTACAAGAGTGGTTCATAGGATGTGAGACAATGGTTGGGGGGAGCATGTGATACATCATCTGGAGAGCACATAGAATAGGTCCACCACATTTTCAGTCTCCCATTTACGTGTGTGTGTGTTTCTTTGTGTTTTTACATGTACTATTTTGTGGCTGTTTAACAGTGTCTACGAGAATTTCCATATAAATACATTTTAATCTATAGCTTTGCTTTCTGAAAAAACACGTTACATTTCTTTGTGTGGACATTTTCATTTTTTCGCGTACATATATGAGCCATGTGTGCTGTACAATTTTATAGCCTATTATTTTAAATTAATGTTTCCAAAGCTTTTTTATATTAATGGTTTCCATGAAGTTTAAATAAACCAGCGTGTCTATAGAATGGAATACTATGTGGCCTTCAGAAAGAATGATGTAGATCTCTATGTGCTAGTATAGAAGGATTAACCATCATAGATTACTAGGTTTTAAAATGCACACACAAGGGGGTACCTGGTTGGCTCAGTGGGTAGAACATGTGACTCTTGATCTTAGGGTTATCGTTTGAGCCCCACGTTGGGTGCAAAATTTATTTAAAAAAATAAAAGTAGATATAAAATGCACATTTAATGCAGAACTCCTAATGTGATCTCATTTGGGTAAAAATGAGATGCTACTCTATATGGATGTTAAAAGGTTTAGTATAGCTGCAAATTTGATCAATGGATGTGGCTTATAATTTCTACATTAAATACCCTGTCATTGAACAAACATTGTACTATCTTTTATGTTTCTAATCAGAACGTAAAGTTATAAAACTTTTGGAAAACATGACTACATAACATTCATTAGAGATTTTATCTGTTTTCATTCCTTCCTATTTGATGAAAATTTTGGAGGAATGCTGTGTTTTTAGTGCACTCATTTATTTTGATGTGAATAAAGTGTGTTTGTTTTGACCTTAGTGGCCTTAGGCTTCCATGATGGAATACTGGTGCTGAAATACAGAATTTCTTGTCAGGAGGCCAACACTGGTTTTATTATTCTTTCCTAATGTTAAAGGCTATCTCCAACCATCTTAGAAATGCATACTTGAATAACTGGTCAGAAATTAAAGTGTTGGCCATCTCCTCTTGTTACTTTTATTAAAATTACCTTACTGCTTAGTCCTCGGAAAGTTCATAGTTTGTATTTGAAGTTAATGCTTTTCTTGACTGAAAAAACTTTATTATAAATTAAATCCCACATGTGTATATACTTCCAGGCAAGTCAGTTTGGGGACCGTATTAGCCCTGCTAGTATATTTGTCCTATAGTCTATTGTGTTAGAAGAAGACTTTGTTATCATATGTTTGGGTCATTTTACAGACAACCCCCTGCTCCCATCATACACACATACCTTCTTCAAAATTCTCCTGATATATTTGTACATATATTTATCTAGAGGAACTGGATTCTCAATTTGTCAAAGCTCCCAACCCTGTTACGGAATTTCAGTTTATGTTCAAGAAAGGATTAACAATAATTTCCTCATTCCCATCCTAAAACATATATTTTTATTTATTTAGGACTTGTTTTATGTTCTATAAATTTTTAAAATTTTTGTTTGGAGTTGCAAATATTTTGTTGAATTTATTTATGGGAATTTATTTATTTTGTTATTAATGGGATTCTTTTCTTGTATTTATTGACCGGGTTTTTCAGCTCAAAATGCTTTTTTCACATGATGCCTTTCATTTCTTTTTCTCAGTTGTGTTTGGTAGGTTTTCTCCAGGCTAGTGTTGAATGATGGTTGTGGAGGACCACCCTTCCGTGTTCCCACCTTTAGTTGGAATACTTTTTAGTGTTCAGTCTGCTTGCATTTATTTGAGATCTTTATTCTTAAATGGTCTCCTAGTTTTTAGCCTTTGCTAGGAATATATAAGAAGCTATTGAAGTTAGCAAATGCTTTTTAACATGTAACAGTGTTCACAGGATCCCCTTTTCCCCCTTTAATTGATCATTTAGAATAGTCCACTAGAATTGGGGTATCTTCCTTGTGTTCCTAGTATAGGCTTTTATGATCATGGGCTATTAAGGCTTTTCTAGGTTGGATTTATTAAACGTTTTTGCATTTAAGTACAAATATGTTTATTGGACCCCTCTGTGTTCCAGTCCTGTGAAGATAAAATATGATGATGGAAAATGGCCTTCCTTGCCCTCAAGGACTTTGGGGATAAGTATGGGAACTCTCATTTCTACTGGGTTCCTGTATCTTCAAGCACATCTCTCATAATGTGTGTAAATTGTTACTGTTGGCCTTTCTGGGCTGTCCTTAGAGGGGTTCCCCCTTAGCTTCAACATCTTATGTGATCGTATCAGGCAAACCTTTAGCCAGCTCCTTTTTAATGCTTTTGTATCAGCCACATCCAAACCTGTATCTTCTGTTTTCTTCAACGGTAGACATGGCTGTTGCCATGGAGGCAGAAGCTGGACTGGGGAAGTGGGGGCGAAGTGGGTAGAGCAGTTACGCTTTTGATTGGCCAGAGGCACTGTCACAGGATGAGTTCACCTGGGATCTCGGTCTTCCTGAGTGTAAGGTGAGTATATAGCCGTAGCAGGTACTAACTCAGAATATTTGAGTTGCCACTTTTAGTTGCCCACTTTTAGTTGCCCTTTGAGTTGCAAAGGCAGCTCTGGAGGTCAGAGTTGAGTCAGAGGTAAGGGTTGGATCACTCAACCAAAGAGCACCTCACTTTGTCTCACAGGGCTCACCTGCTATCAGGTACCCCTGTAGGAGGATGTCAACCAGTAGTTCCTCTTCCTGAGTTTGACTCTTGATGACTGATAGGACTGCAGTTATACAGTAGCACATTGACAACATAACACTTCTCTGACATGCGCTTGTCCCTTTCCATGGCTCCATGTGTAAAATGTCACCTGCCATCATTTACTGGGGTAGCTTTTTTGTGCTGCCAGTGTTACCTTTTATAAACTGGAAGTTAGATATACATATAAGGACTTAATTGTGGAGGGCAGCTGACTTTTTAGCTTTTTTCCCCTTACTAATATTTTATCTACTTGACCTTAACTAGAGACTTGCTAGTTCAAAAAGAATGGGCATTTTTTTTCTTTTCTTTTTTAAAGATTTATTTATTTATTCATAAGAGGCAGAGAGAGAGAGGCAGAGACACAGGCCGAGGGAGAAGCAGGCTCCATGCTGGGAGCCGTATGTGGGACTTGATGCCTGGTCTCCAGGATCACGCCCTGGACTGAAGGTGGCGCTAAACCACTGGGCCACCAGGGCTGCCCAAGAATGGGCATTTTTAATGTTTTTAAACCATTATGCTGAAACAGCATCTGGAAACATGGTTCATGTCTGCATCAGGCAGCTTCTCACCAATGTCAGTTTTTCTTTTTGATTTTTATTTTTGAAATACTTGCCCAAGTGGTAAGCCAAAAAAAATATTCACTGTAATATTTTACATATCTTTGACTTCTGGTGTAACTGTGTTGGATCTTACCATTGATTTTAGGAACTGTGTTTTTTTTTTTTTATGTTGAGACACTTACCTTTCTGTTGCTCTTTCTAAGAGCTTTTCACATTTTGAATATTAACTATCACCTATGTTGCAAAATATTTTTCCTCCTCCTTGTCTGGTTTGTTCTGGTTGTTTTTTATAGTACAGAAAATTTTTATTTTCATGTCTGCTGTTGGAATTCTGCTTGAGCATTCTCCCTGTCCCTGTTCTTTGCTGTTGCAAGTAAATGATGCCTCTGTGAACATATTTGAGAATTGTATCTTTGTGCATGTGGGCAGATAGGTCTGTCAGTTAGGTTTCAGAGGGAGAATCATTAGGATAGGGGATGGCATAATAATTGCTGGAGACCTGAAGAGTATATTCAACTTATAGCTGCAATTTCTACATGTCATATCTGGGTTTCAGAAGTTCCAAAGTTGGTTCTTTGGGGTTTTCTAAATTGCCTGCCATCTGGTTTATGGTGTGACCTTGGACTCCAGTAGGGTGGGATGGGCAGGGAAGGGAGGAGACCCCCCCCCCAGCATTAAGATGTCAGTGTTACATGCATCTATTCAATGGGCAGCACAGTCTCTAAGGCCTCTACTAGTTCTTTTGTTTCTTGTTTTGTTTTTAACTTTGGATTTATTTTTTTGACTAGGTAATACATGCTCATGGTAAAAAAAAATAAAATAAAAACAAAAAAAAAGGAGAATATACAGTGAAAAAGTAAGTTTCCCTTCTTTTCCTGGCAGCCCCCAGTTCCCTTCTCCAGAGGCCAGTCATTATTAATCACTATTAATAGTCTCCTATATATCGTTATAGAAATCGTCTAAGTAAATGGATCTGTTTTTATAGTTTCTTAGAATGCTATACACTTTGCTGTGTCCCATTTTGCAGTTAACGGGTCTCCAGGATCACACCCCGGGCCGAAGACAGGTGCTAACCTGCTGAGCCACCCAGGCTGCCCTGGGTTATTTTCTTTTTAAGATTTTTATTTATTTGAGAGAGAAAGAGAGCAGGGGGAGGGGAAGAGAGAAAGGGAGAAGCAAACTCCCTGCTGAACAGGGAGCCCAATGTGGAGCTTGATCCCAGGACTCTGGGATCATGATCTGAGCCAAAGGCAGAAACTCACCCAGGCACCCCTTATTGTCAGGTTAGAAATGCCCATCCTTGTTCCATAATTATAAAAAGTAATCTTTTATTTACTTTATTTTGATTTTAGTTTTAGCATTTTTATATATGGTATGATATTTTCCCTTAGGTGAATGATTGGCTAGTTTTTACTAAAGTAACTCATACATTCCTTTCTAGTTTGTAAATGCCACTTTTCATGCCAATACTGAACACTCGACTATGTATTGTCAACTCAGACTAAGAAATTCCTAAATGAATCCGTTTCTTTTGTCATAAATTACTAGTACATCTTTTTTGTTGTATTTCATTGGCTTTGATGGTATAAACAAAACCATCATTTGTTTTTTTTTTTCATTTGTTATTTTTATGTAGTTTTTCTGCCTTCAGGCATATTATAAAATAACTTTCTTACCTGAGATTATGTTAAAATATTTTTTAAATGTTATGTATGATTTGTTGGCCTTTTGATACATGAGTTTGTAAAATATTGATAGAAATGGAATTCTTCCATGTCAACTTTAGAATCACTGCCAAGTTCGCCAAAGTTAATATTCTTTGAGGTTCCATTAAATAGTATAGATTAATTTTGGGGAGGTTTCGGAACTTTAATATGCTAGATCCATATATCTCCCATAATTATATTGTGTCTTTTCAGTTATTGTCTTTTATTATTATAATATAATTTGTAGTTTTATTAACATGGTTGTCGTTACCTTTTATTAAATCTTTTCTATCTTTACGATAGTAGTTCTCTTCCCATTTTTTAAAATTTGTGATTGCTGATACATTTTAGGGAGTCTGTTATCAGTGATTCCTTATTATTGTAAGGTCTGTTTCCATTGATCACAGTATCTGAGTGGACAGTCTTATATGACTGAATGATAGTTTTAGATCTTTATGCTTCAGATTTGTTTTTCTTGCCTTGTAATTGGCTAGAACTCTGTAGAATCATGTTCAACAGTGATAGGGTTAAACACTTTTGTGTCTGCTTTTATAACTGACTTTGGTCTGTGGTTTGTTAGTGCTAGCTTTGTCTTGGGTTTTTGAATTACTCTGGTTTCATAAAGATAATTTGAAAGCTCTCTCTTTCTCTTTGGTTCGTTTATATGACATGGGAATTGGCCTTTTCTTGAATAGGATATATAAGGCCTCATCTCTAATGCTGAGTTCACAGACATTTGGAGAATTAATTTTCTGACACTCTTTTTACATTTCTCTCATGTTTATTTGTCCATGTATTTTTTTTCTTTAAAATGTCTGCAGGTCCCTGGCATTTTGACTCTGTTCCTGTGGATAGCTGCTTGTTCTGAAGTTCCAGAAAGGATCTTAATTCCCAAACAGGTATCCTGTTGCCTACAGGAAGTTGGACTAGTGTTTTCTAGGGGACTGGGGTTTTCTCTGGAATCTGGATGCCAAGAGCAGACTTGGGCTTTCTGCCCTTGTGTCTTTGCCATTCAGGCATGCTGGTTTTTGAGAATGGTGGTTTTGTCAGAGACAATACCTTTTAGCCAAGTCCTGTGTGAAATTGACTGTTTTCTGATCCAGAGTATCACACCAGTTCCCCAGAACCTGAACACTTGCCCCTTTCCTTCCCCTGCTTTGGAATCTTCTGCCCAGAGGGGTATGACCTAGTACCCTTCTCTCTGTTGGTACCTGCCCTAGGACAGGGCAGTCAGGGAGGCAGTGCTTCATTCACATTCGTGATGGATGTGTGTTTGTGAGGTTGGTGCTCCAGAGGACAGAGTGGGAGAGGGCATGGGAGAACAGTGTGTACATGAATAGAGTGCAAGCCCATCACTGCCAGGGGGACCCAGCATGGCATAGCTTGCTTCATTTACTCCTAAATAATAAACACCTTGTTTTCTCTTTAGATATTTAAAAAAAAAGACCTCTTACTTTTAAATGTGCTGGTTTCCTTTTAAAACAAAAGCAGACTATGCTGCATATGCTTTAGTTCTTCTCTGGAAGTAAAGCCAGAAGTACAAAACTGTCAGGTGAATAAATTGACCTACCCAAGCCTAGACTGTGTTCCCAGAGTGCCTACTCCCTCATACTATTTGTGGCTGTCCACAGGGAGAAATGTGTAGCCTTAACTGGTTACGTTATACTCAGTCTAAAGGATTTTTCAAAAAAGATGGTCAGATAATAAAAATGAAGACAATGAGGGAAATAAATGAAAAACTACAGAGGATTATCAAAGCTGTTTCTTTCCAGACAAATAAACCTTGGCAAGATTGATCAAGGCTATTGCATGAAAAAGTTTGATGGCCGCTGTATCATATTCTTACAGAATAATGTGTTTATCACTGTATAGGGTTTCTGTAGCTTCATCAAAATTGCATTTAATTTTCCCCTAGTGTACTAGGCAGCATTGTAAGAGAGCTTCATGTATACCCCCAATGGCTTCCCACCCAGTTGTCTAGGAATACCAAGAAGGGGCTGCTAGAAAAGTGTGGGGGGGGGTGAGAGGAGGCGACACACCAGAATGTCTTTTAAAAGCAGTGGTAGAGGGAACCCTGGGTGGCGCAGCGGTTTGGCGCCTGCCTTTGGCCCAGGGCGCGATCCTGGAGACCCAGGATCGAATCCCACGTCAGGCTCCCGGTGCATGGAGCCTGCTTCTCCCTCTGCCTGTGTCTCTGCCTCTCTCTCTCTCAACCTGTGTGACTATCATAAATAAATAAAAAATAAAAAAAAATAAAAAAAAAATAAAGCAGTGGCAGAGAGGTTAACCCAGGATGTTCTCTCTCCCCAGAAACTTTTCTGTGTTTCTGCAGGCACACAGTAACATATGCCTTTATCTAAAACCAATTCTAAAGTGGATTTGTGTTTGTTATTTTCAGTATGTTATTTCAGTGTTGATACCTGACTTTGTGTCAGGCAGGCACTAGAGGATACAAGAATAGAAAAGTTAATCTCTAATCAATCCATTTAGTAGAGTTTACAGTTTGCTATAGGGAGAGGGGCATGTTAACTATTTAAAAATAAATGTGATGAGTGCTTGCAACACCGAAGAGATGAAGTACATCAAGAAGCCTACCTGAGGAAGTGCTGTTAGCAGAGCCTCAGACTGGGTTTTGGGACTTGCACTCATCAGAAGGGTGTGCGGTGCTGACGGAAGGATTCCTAAGTATACCTGCAGACTGTGCCACTCTGGCCAGTAGAACTTTCCACAACAATGGAGATGTTCAGGAATAATCAGAAATGGCAATTTGGTTCCCATTCCCTATAGCCTCCTTTCCATCTTTGCTGAGAAAAAAAATTGACCTCCAGTTTCAATAATGGCTACCTTGAGCATTTCCCATGTGTAGACATGGGGTAGTTAGGCCTTTAGGTATATTGACTTACTTAATTTCACAGTTTTAAAGGCGCTGAGGGCTTTTGTTCCCCATGTGTAAATAAGGGTACAGACTCCAGGACATTGAATAGTTGCCCACGGTCACAAAACCAGTTAGTAGCAGGGCTAACTTTGAAAGTCTGAGTGGTGCCAAGAGGTCCTGGTTGTAGCTCCCATGTGAGGCCAACTTTGTGTGCTATGTGTGTATCTGTTTATTGCGGGTTTTTGCATCCCAGCCCCCTTGGCCTGTTCACAAAGCATTGTTGATGCCCCATGTAGGGCAGCCCCACTATGCTGCCTGATCCTCAACTTCTGGGACATGTGTATATCTCCTTACGATCTACAGGTCCCTGAGTACTGACTGTCACAGGCTGCCGCGTCTTTCCTGTTGACTCATGTTTGGTTCCTCCAGTGAAAATTTTACTTAGAAAAATGCTGCCTCCAAAGTACTTGTCTGCCACCAAACCCAAGAAGTCTTGGGTTCCAGATGTGTATGAGCTAGACAGTGACTTGACTAAGGAGCCGGATGCCACCATAAGAGAAGGTGCAACTGACCCTGAATTCTTTCATCAGAGGTTTCGGAATTTCCTCTACGTGGAATTTGTTGGGCCTCGGAAGACGCTGTTCAAACTCAGAAACCTCTGCCTCGATTGGTTGCAGCCGGAGACTCGCACTAAGGAGGAGATTATTGAGCTCTTGGTCCTTGAGCAATACCTGACCATCCTTCCAGAAAAGATCAAGCCTTGGGTGCGGGCAAAAAAGCCAGAGAACTGTGAGAAGCTAGTTACTCTGCTGGAAAATTACAAGGGGATGTATGAGCCAGGAGGTGAGACTTTGTAGAAGCATGTTGGAGGCAGTCAGGGGAGTGTGAGCTCCCTGGGGTTCGCAGCCTCAGCACTGCTTGTGTTGGAGGCTTGATCATTCTCTTCTGGGTGTGGCCAGCTCGATATAGGACGTACAGTGACACCTCTTGCCCCTCTCTACCCACAGGGTGCCAGTTGCACTATCTCCCCAGCCGTGACAGCCACAACATGATGTTGCCAAATGTCACCTGGGACGTAGAATGCCTTGGTTAAGGACCACCACCCCAAGGTGGTGTGAGAAGGAAGAGCAATACTTAAGTGAGGGCCTCCGTGAGGAACTGGTGAGCCCCTGTGGGTCTCACAGCCCTGGGCCTGGTTCCCTTTTGTGAAACAGAGGGTGTGTTATCCCAGAGAGGTATCTGTGGCTGCTGTTTAGAGATGAGATGGGAGAGGAGTTGCAGTCACATTGCCCACCAAAGAGCAGTAGGAAGCTGAGGAATGAGAGGATCTGATCACTCTAGCTTGCTCTGGAGGGTGGGTAGTGTGGTGGGGGCAAGGACAGACTCCACTTGGAGGAGCTATTTGAGAACACAGGCAAGAGGTGATAAAGCATTAAGTCATTGTCTGGTGTCCTCTCAGACGACAACAACAGTGACATCCACAGTGAAGACAGCATGAGCCGAAAGGGAGCAGAGTCCCCACCACCACGCTCCACCTCTTCTTTCTGCAGTGAGTAACCCTGTCAGAATATGCCCCTGTTGGGGCATGCTTCCAGACTTCAGCCTAGCTTCCCTTCACCAAGCCTGCCACGTGGCATGGAAGTACAGCAGTGGGCATGAAAATGAAACCTTCAGTGAAGACAGCAGCTCCTTCCCCAGGGCCACTGCTGCTACTCACAGGTCTGAGGGGAAAGTAAATTAATTGATGACCTAAAGAGACATTTTTAATATCAAAGACACTAGTATGTGGCATGAAATACAATTTTCTTTTTACATAATGAGACAGTATTTAAAGCTGTTGGAAATTTGTAGCAGGCTGTTTGAAGGTATGTCCACAGCCTCCCCACTGTGAGGGGCAAAGTTCATCACTACTCTCTCTGAAAGCTGATTTTTTTTGGCTAAAGGTTCTTCAGTGACCTTTTTAAAAGGAGGCTTGCTTTTGGGGAGGAGATGTGTTTTGTTGAAGTAGTGTAATGTGTCTATGAAGATTGTCAGGGGTGAACCCAACAGTAGAGGGTCTGAAGTCATTGTCCTGAGTGTGGGCTTGTCTGTGTAGGAACTGGGAAACCAACAGAAGTGTTCAAAGAAGAATTAACCTCTAAGCCAGCCTTTGGAACTTGCTTTTGCAATGTGCCCCACTTAGGCAAAGCCTCCAGCAATAGGTGGGGTTCCAGGTGTAGGGTAATAGGAAGAGCCCAGATCCTGTTAGGGAGTCTGGAGACCTCAGAGCGGGATCCATTTCCTTAAGGGAGGAGCAAGGAGAGTGTTCCTTTCCCAAGTGCTATGTGTGTACGTGGAGGGAGAACACAGGTGTCCAAGCACTTGTTAACCAGTGTCTGGCTTTCTCAGGTGACCGGGACCGGGAATGGGACCAGGACTGGGACCGAGATCGGAAACGGGACTGGGAGCTAGACTGGGACCGGGAGAGGGAGCGGAGAGGCAGAAGCAGAGACCTGGAGTCTCGAGACCGCTGGCCATATACCAGGAATCCCAGAAGCAGTAAGTCCCACACTCTGATGTCCTTGATGAGTATGCAGGGTTAGACTGGTTCCTGTTCCTTCCCAATGCCTTTTCTCTTCCCAGGACTTCCTCAACGGGATCTTTCCCTTCCTCTGATGGAGAAAACAAGTTTTGCGATGGAAAGAGAGCGCAAACGTAGGGACTCTGTGATGGATTATGAGTCAAGATCCCAGGTATGCTTAGGCTTCCTCTCTTTCTGGAAAGGCCATCTTCCTTTCATGGCAGAAATGCTTTTATTTACTGAGAGAGGGTAATCCACTCCCTATAATTCATCTACTCCCTATAATCGCAGCAGGGATTGGGGCCAATTATTCCCTGCAAAGAGCCCATGCCCTTTCCCAGAAGTGGCAAGTGGCTGGGGTGACTCCCATTTTCTCATTTATCCATGTAGTCAGAAGGAACACTTATCCGTTCAGCATCTGGGTCATGTGGTACTTTGGTCATGTCAGTTGTTCCCTATGGGGCCAGGGAAGCAGAACTATTCTGGAGATCTTTCTGGCCAGCCCACTGTGGGGAGCCAGGGAAGTTGCAAAGCCATACAGCAGACTGGCAAAGGAGAGCAGAGGCTCTATAGCCAACGTGAGCTGGGTTCAAAGCCCAACTCTGCCAGCTGTTGGGTGTGCAGCCTCCAACCATTTACTTAAGCAAGCTGAACCTCAGTTTCCTCATCTGCAGGATGGATGTGGCGATTGGCTTAACAGGGTTGCTGGGAGGAGTGAGTGTGATTCTTATGTACTTGTGAAGTGCTTAATATGATGCCTGGCATGTGGTTGGCATAGCCTACCTGTCAGTGGTTATGGCTGTAACTTTAAGAGGTGATGTGCTAGAAAATTGGTGAAGGAAAAAAGGACTTGAGATTTGAGCTGACCTTTAAGAACAAAGGTGATGTACAACATGGCATTATGAAGAGGAGCCATAGCATGGAAAGGGCTCTGAGAGGAAGGGCGTGGCTGAGTGTGTGGAGCCTGCATCTGATCTACTATTAATAATAAGGACTTCCCCCATGTCTGGGGGTACAGTGGTGGTTGAGATAATTAGGGTCCCTGAATGCCCTGGAAACTCTGAACCTTACAACAGAGAAGGGCATTCAACAATCCCACAAATAAGTAATAAGTTTATATATAAATACCATATATGACTGCTCATTATACAGACTGCTGCTAAGGAGAAATTGGGGGTTATGACAAATTGTCATGAGGGTCTTGATTTAGATTTGAAAAGAAAATATCTTGAAGGCAGTAACATTTGACATCTGAAAGACAGGAACAGTTGGCTGGGTATAGTGTTGGAGTCAGAGCCCAGGCAAAGGCCCTGAGGCAAGAACCAAACAAAGACCAGGTTGGCCAGAACAAAGAGGGCAAGAGGCCCAAAATAGCCTGAGGCACGGGTAGGCCTGGTCACTGGTGTCCTATAGCCAAGCAAAGAGCTCAGTTCTATCCCCAGTGCACTGAGATATATTAATAATGGTTCCTGCAGTGGGATATATGATTTGGGATCAGCTGACAGAGGGCTTTGTATCTTACCCTGAGAGGTCTCTCCTTTGTCCTCTGTCCTGAAGGCAAGCAAGGATCCACAGGTGTGTATGAGAAGAAGGATAGGGTCCAGATACTGAAAGCAGAGCTCCTGCAGCAAGAGTAACTGACAGGGGAGGGGATGTGGAAGAAGGTCAGAGGTGACTCACTTCCTCCAGGCCAGATGCCCATATGCCAGGGAAACAATTGAAGTTTGTGACGCACTTATTAGTTTGTTGCTAATTTTGCTGCCTTATTTGAAGAAACCAAATTGACCAAAATTTTAGGAATCTAGATTAAAAAAAAATCATAGACTCTCTCTTAAACTTGATAATGAAAAAAGTCTAATTGATATGCGTTTGCCACCCATGCAGGTGGTCTATGATGAATATCAGTGACTCCTGAGCACTGCTGTGCCAGATGGGAAACTAAGTTTTCACTGTGATATGTGGGGAAATGAGAAATGTAAGTGTCCTTATTTTGGTAGTGTTAAAATTATGAAATAAAGGTGATAGATTAGTAATTGGCTATTGTCTTATTTTGCTTTTTAAATGCCCCTCCTTGATGGGAGCCTGGATGGCTCAGTTGGTTAAGCATCCAACTCTTGATTTCAGCTCAGGTTTTGATCTCAGTGTCTTTAGTTCAAGTTTCATATTGGGCTCCATCCTGGGTATGGTGCCTACTTAAAAAAAGAATGCCCTTCTTTGACACTGAGAAGAGTTCGCTCTAGGGCTGTCATCTAAAAGTCTAGAAACCACTGATTGCTCCTAACTTAGTGTGGTAGGAATAGCAGCAGCAGCAGCAGCAGATGTAAATTATATCTTAAGGATGTGCACAACAGAAAATCCTCATCATCTTTTAGCAGTGTTTGTAGATCTCTGAATCACTAATGGTGTGGATTCTGCCATGAAAGGGAAGCTATGCCGCATTGCTCTCTGGGCGGTGCCCATTCAGGTGGTACTTGACTGCATCTTGTACAAATTTAGATGTCATTTCGATTACAGATATAAATTGACCAACTGCTTTAGAGATGGCCACTTACATAGATTAACTTCATTTTAAATCAGAGCATCATTTTTCTTTCATAGGAACAACGTAGTTCAAAATTTAACATGCATTTATTTTACTCAGGCAAATGGAGAGAAGAATATGAAAAATAGCCACTTCTCTTTGCCATTGCCCTTGGGGGTCTGTCAACACCAGGCGTGGTGACCCTTCTGCTTCTCTGTGTCCATGTTCTTGACCTCATCTGTTCCTCTGCTAATCCCCCAAGTTAGGAGCCCTGGTTTCCTTCCTCTCACTACAAATGCATTTATGTTCCTACCCATTCTTTCCTTCACAGTATGATAAACCAGTGCTGGGACTTAGGAAGTAGTGTCACAAACCGGAGCATAGCACAGCTTTTGCTATTGAACTTGCTGTTGGACAGAAGGAAATTGACACTCAGCAACAATGATGCAATTAGCTTTATAGGGTGGCAGTTGTACTGAGTTGCAGTGCCTCTTGGGCTATGTAGCTTGTTCATTGTTAGGAATTTTCAGCCTGGACCTAGAAAGAATTCCATTTTTGAAGCTCTGCTTAGTTTTGGTTGTGGTTTTTGTTTTTAATCATTGGATATTGGCAGTTGCATAAATGAAGCTTTCCTTTTAAATCCCAGTGTATGTGCCTATCTGTCTTTCTCCATAGGAGATCCATCTAATTGTGCGCATACTTTTTCTGATACATTTTACATGGCTGTAATGTCCATGCTGCTTCTCAGCAACTAACTATAATAAACTTAATATCAAAATATCTTTTACATAGTACTATAGTAATTTACATTTTCTTTACATAATTTTTCTTGATTTTTAAACAACGCATCATGTTGCTGAATATCTTCACCCACAATAGTGTAAGGCAGGTTGGTGCCTAGCTCTCCATTTTACAGATGAAGAACCTGAGGCTCAGAAAGTTTTCTGTTCCCAAGGTTGCATGGCTCATAAATGGTACAGTTTTCCTTTGACCCTTGAGTTTCCTCTGGCTTCAAAACGTGGGCTTCCCATGATGCGTGTCCATCCTTAAGTCTGTCTCCAGGCCTTGGTGCAGTACTCCATGGGACCACACCTCCCTGAGGCCAGTGACATCTTTGTGCAGCAGCGAGAAAAAGTCCCATAAGAAAAAAAAAAAAAGAAAAAAAAAAGTCTCATAAGATCCTACACAGAAGACTCTTCTGAGTAATGCAGAGAATTTTAAAATTATTTTGAGATGTAGTTGTTAAATCAGAAGAGGCAGCTATAAAATGAAGCTGCCTTCCATGCTTAGAGTTCCATCTGGGCTATTTGGAACTTGTCCTCTGGAAGAGCTCACCATGTATCCATGTTGTACAGTGAAGGTGAGCACAAGATACAGTGGGACTGTAGACAGATGCCTAAGTCACACTTTGTGACCAGATGTCTGCTGAGACACGCTCTCCTTCTGTCCCTGCACATGCTACACATGGTTAATGTTTGGCCTGTTGAAGCTCTCCCATTAATTCCTTTTCTCTGTGTCAGAGTCTTAATCACTTAGGGTCCCACCCAAGCCCCTCTATAAAATCCTAAACTGTCCCTCTGCTGAACCTGTTTAGCACTTATTATTTGTACCCCACTTTATTGATTATTGTTCTCTAATTGTTTCATGAGTCTTTTCTCTCCAACCAAATTATAAGCTGCATGAGGGCAAGGAATATGTGTCATACGTCTTTTGGATCTTCCTCAGAGTATAGCGCCAAGGTAGGTACAAAGTAGGTCCGTAGTAAAACTTGCCTTGGATCACTCAGAACCCCAAACATTGTGAGCACTTTCTACCTATCTTTGTATGTGTAGCGCCCATGGTGCCAGAATTCTCTCTCAGATGCCCATAGAAAAACTCCATTGAGAGGTCTGTGTTTGGTATTTTAGGATGCAGTGTCATACCAGGACGTTGTGAACCTGACTGAGGACAGGAAGCCTCAGAACCCGATTCAGGACAACATGGAGAACTATAGGAAGCTGCTCTCTCTTGGTAAGCAGCTGCTTTGGTCACGTACTCCAGACCTAGTCATTGGAGCTTCTCGTCACCTTTATTCTTAAAACTGTGTGATATTAGAGTTGACATTCATATATTTGGACTTTAAGGGTAATAAAAGAAGCCTTTGAAATATGTCAAGCAGAGAAGTAGATTGATGAGGTTTATGTTTTGAGAAATCATTCTGGCTTTAGGGGAAGAGTGTATTGTACCAGGTGTCTCTTGCCACAAGAGTTGATACTTTTTTTTTTTAAATTTTTTTTTAATTTTTTTATTTAGTTATGATAATCACAGAGAGAGAGAGAGGCAGAGACACAGGCAGAGGGAGAAGCAGGCTCCATGCACCGGAAGCCCGACGTGAGATTCGATCCCGGGTCTCCAGGATCGCGCCCTGGGCCAAAGGCAGGCACCAAACCGCTGCGCCACCCAGGGATCCCGAGTTGGTACTTTTTCTAGAGAGGTGGCAGTGAAGATTTTTAAATACATGTGTAGAGTGGGATCCTGAGTTCACATTTGGACTGTCCTCGAAGTCATCTAGCTCTAGTTGTAGTGGGCAATTGGCTGTGCAGGTCTGGTGCTGGGAAGAGAGAGCTGTGCAAGGCAGTGGAGCCTTGAGGAGCTCTGGTGTTCAGAGAACAGCTGGAAAAAAAGAGTCAAGGAAGAAGAGAACCATGGAGGCCAGTGAAAAAGAGGGTGTCAGATTTAAAAGGTAGTTACAGGAGGGTGAAGATGAAAAATGATGCACTGGATTTCAGGACATGGGTCATCCCTGTACATATTTCTAGGTGGAAACAATAGACTTAATTATAATTTTGGCTAGAATCAGCTGGGAAGTGAACAATAGGATGTTGAGCTGCACCTAGAAGACATTCAGGGAGTTGGGTGTGGGCCACCTCCTGTCAGTGGTTTGTAGGAAGGTAGGCACCATCTTATGGTAATGAATCTTATACCCAGCTTGACTATAGCTGTCTAAGTTGTAGGTCATATTATTCTTGTGAACAGGGGTTCAGCTTGCCGAGGACGATGGCCACTCGCACATGACACAAGGCCATTCATCGAGATCAAAAAGAGGCACCTACCCGAGCACCAGTCGAGGTAAGCCCTAGGCAGACCACAGCTAGCAGCTACTTTGGTTAGTGAGACGGGAGCTATACATACATATTGGTAAATCTCTTACCATCATCTCCCAAGTCCCACTCTTATTCTGTGCAGGTGCAGGGACTAGGGCGTATTTACATTGAGGTTTCTTTCCAGGGCTGAAAACCACACCTGAAACCAAAAAGTTGGCCCATCGGCGGGGGATTTGTGAAGATGAATCTTCGCACGGGGTGATAATGGAAAAATTCATCAAGGATGTTTCACGTAACTCCAAATCGGGAAGGGCCAGAGAATCTAATGATCGGTCACAGAGGTTCCCCAGAAGGCCAGAAAATGACTGGAAAGGAGTTTCATTCAACAAGAGAGAGTCAGTGATTCAGGAGAGGGGCTATGAAGGGAATGCCTTTGGGGGAGGCTTTAATATGAATTCGAGTCTTGTTTCCAAAAAGAGAGTTCTTGAAAGGAAGAGGCGCTATCAGTTTGACACAGATGGGAAGGGTTCAGTTCATGAGCAGAAAGGCTATGCACGGAAGAGACCTTTTGAATGTAGTGAAATGAGAAAAGCCATGAGTATGAGCAGCCTTAGTGCACCTTCCTTCACTGAGTCGCACCCATTTGATTTTGGGGCAATGCCCTATGTGTGTGATGAGTGTGGGAGGTCTTTCAGTGTGATTTCAGAATTTGTCGAACATCAGATCATGCATACTAGAGAGAACCTCTATGAGTACGGTGAATCGTTTATTCATAGTGTGGCTGTCAGTGAGGTTCAGAAAAGTCAGGCTGGGGGGAAACGCTTTGAATGTAAGGAGTGTGGGGAAACCTTCAGTAAGAGTACCGCTCTTGCTGAACATCGGAAAATTCATGCTAGAGAGCATCTTGCAGAATGTAATGATGAGGAGTATGAGGAGCCCTTCATGCCTAGCCCAACCTTTAGTGAGCTTCAGAAAATATATGGAAAAGATAAATTCTATGAATGTAAGGTGTGTAAGGAAACCTTCCTTCATAGTTCTGCCCTGATTGACCACCAGAAAACACATGGTAGAGCTGACAAAGATAATGAGTGTGGGGAAGCCTTTAAACCCAGCCTTAATGAGCTTCAGAAAATGTATGGCAAAGAGAAAATGTATGAATGTAAGGTGTGCGGGGAGACCTTCCATCACAGCTCATCCCTGAAAGAACATCAGAAGATCCATACTAGAGGGAACCTATTTGAAAATAAAGGTAAAGTGTGCGAGGAGACCTTTATTCCTGGTCAGTCCCTTAAAAGGCATCAGAAATCTTACTCAAAAGAGAAGCTCTATGATTTTAAGGATGGTGGGGGTGCCTTTCGGCAAAACTCAGACCTCAGTGAGCATCAGAAAATTCATTCTCGAAAGAACCTATATGAAGGCAGGGGGTACGAGAAGTCTGTCATTCATAGCGTGCCATTCACTGAATCTCAGAAGAGTCATACCATAACAAGACCACCGGAAAATGAGGAGGATGAGAAGGCGTTCACCATTAGCTCTAACCCTGATGACAATCAGAAGATTCCCACTAAAGAAAATGCCTGTGAGAGGAAACCATACGAGAGGTCTGTTATTCATAGCTTAGCCTTTGCTAAAGCTCAGAAAAGTTGTCACAGTGCAGTGGGGCCCAGTAAACCACAAGTGATTGCAGAATCTGCCACTCAGACCTCAGGTGTTACTGAACATCAGAAAGTCCATGCTGGAGAGAATTCTGAAGGAAAGAAATATGAGAGATCTGTTATCCATACCTTAGCTGCTTTCAAACCTCCCAAAAATTGCAGTGGAAACGAAGTCGTTCAATGTGATGAGAAGGGAGAATCCTCCACTTACCTCTCAAATCTCTGTGATAAGCAACAGAAAACTCCTGCCAGAGAGACCCCTTATGAAGGGGCTAAGAGTAACAACCACAAGGACTCTGTCATACAAAGCGTATCCCGTATCGAACCTCAGAAAAGTCTTCCCAGTCAGGGGTCCAGTGAATCCTCTATTCCCAGCTCAAATGTCCGAGAACATCAGAAGGCTCGTGCTAAGAAAAAAAACATCGAGCATAGGAACTATGAGACCTCTGTAATTCACTCCCTACGTTTTGGTGAACCTCAAACATTTCGCCCTAGAGAGAAATTCTATGAATGTCCAGAGTGTGGAGAATCCTTTGTTCGTATCTCCGACCTCACTGAGCATCAGAAGATTCACGATAGAAAGAAGCCCTCTGGAAGCAAAAACTATGAACGATCTGTAATTCGCAGCTTAGCCTCTACTGATCCTCAAACAAGTTACGCTGAACAGCAAGCACAGACAAGTTATGCTGAACACTCCAACTCAAGGCAGATGAGGTACCCCGAACAACCAGCACAAACAAGTTACACTAAGCAACCAGCACAGGCCAGTTACACTAAACAGCCAGCACAGGCCAGTTATGCCAAACAACCAGCACAGGCAAGTTACAGTGCACACCCAGTGCAGTTGAGTTACTCTGAACACCCAGTGCGGATGAGTTATACTGAACAATCAGCACGGATGAGTTACGCACAGCAGCCAGCACAGATGAGTTACACTGAAGAGCAAGCACAGACAAGTTTTGCTGAACAGCAAGTGCACAACAAATGTAAGGAGTGTGGGGAATGCTTTGCCACCATTGAAGAGCTTGGTGCACATCAGAAAATCTATGCCCGAGAGGAATTTCATGGTCGGAAGCTCTTTGGAAACTCTGTTATTCAGGGCGTAGGCCTTGATGGGCCTCGGCTGGTAGAGTCTCAGCCTGAAGAGCCTCGGCAAGAAGAGCCAGATGAACAGGATGAGCCAGATGAGCAAGATGAGCCTGAAGACACAATCTATGGATGTAAGGACTGTGGGCTAGGCTTTGCACATCGCGCAGACCTTAAGGATCATCAGAAGGTACATGGCAGAGAGTACCTCATTGATAGTCGTGAGTACACACATTCTGTGATCCATACCCATTCTGTCAGTGAATATCAGAAAGATTATATCGGAGAGCAGCTCTATGAATGCCCTGCATGTGGGGAATCTTTTGTTCACAGCTCATTCCTTTTTGAGCATCAGAAAATCCATGAGCAAGATCAATTTTATGGCCATAGAAGGTATGATGAGCCTTTTGTGCAACCCTTGGTCATTAACCCACGGAGGCCTCGTGCCCCACAGAAGAATCCTCCTGCAGGAACATCTCTTCAATGCCATGTGTGTGGACAAGACTTCATTCATGGCTCTGTCCTTAGTGAACATATGAGAATTCATACTGGAGAGGATTTACCAGAGCAGGGCCAGAGAAGTGAAGATGCAGTCAGTCCAGGCCTAGCCCTCACTGAATTTCAGAGAAGCCAAACCGAAGAGAAACACTATGAGTGTAAAACATGTGGAGAATCTTTCCTCAATCAGGCAGACCTTAGGGAGCACATGAGAATTCATGAGAAGGATGAGCCGTATGATTATGGGGCCTCCTTTGTTCATACTTCATTTCTTACTGAGCCTCCCAAAAGAGATTCACCATTTTATGAATGCAAGGACTGTGGGAAGTCCTTTATTCATAACACAGTTCTCAATAAACATCAGAAGCTTCATCTTGAAGAAGAGGAAGAAGAAGGAGCCCAAGAGGTGGAAGCCAATGTCCTTGTTCCACGAGAAGTTTTACGAATCCAGGGATCAAATGTAGAAGCCGCTGAGCCAGAGGTAGAGGCTGCTGAACCAGAAGTGGAGGCTGCTGAGCCTAATGTGGAGGCTGCTGAGCCCAATGGAGAGGCTGAAGGGCCAGATGGGGAGGCTGCGGAGCCAAATGGAGAGGCCGAACAGCCCAACGGAGAGGCTGAACAGCCCAATGGAGATGCTGATGAACCAGATGGTGCAGGGATCGAAGACCCAGAAGAAAGAGCTGAGGAGCCAGAGGGAAAGGCTGAAGAGCCAGAGGGAGATGCTGATGAGCCAGATGGGGCAGGGATCGATGACCCAGAAGAAGAAGGTGAAGATCAAGAGATTCAGGTTGAAGAACCGTACTATGACTGTAGGGAATGTGGAGAAACCTTCACTTCCAACTCAGCGTATGGTGAGCACCTGAAAACCCATGCCAGGGTGATAATATTTGAGCCTGGAAATGTCTACGGGGAAAGCTCACGCTACACTGAACATGCCAGCACCAGCACTAGTGACAATGATAGGGCAGATGACAAGTACTTCAAATGTGATGTCTGTGGGCAGCTTTTCAGTGATCGCCTGTCCCTTGCTAGACACCAGAATACTCATACTGGCTGAGAACACAAGTATAAAGGTTAGAAAACTTACATTTAGAACTTGACCCTTACTAAACCAGATACTTCAAACCAATCCATAATAACGTCAGAAGGAAACTTATCTTGGCGTATACACACCTGACTTTTAACATCAGAAAACTCAGACTAGAAAGAGACCAAAGGTGGAAACTCCCTTGGTCTTAGCTCTCTCCCATCAAACATTGGTGTAGGCATATGGGAAAGCTATAGCACCTACTTTTCATCTGAGTAATCATATTGAGGGAAAACCTTAGAAGCTTTCAAGATTACAGAAATTGCCCCAGTCAACTGTAAATGACACTTCTGTAACCTATATATAATGCTCCCTGCAATGTATATAAAATAGCATATCATAGCAAAACAGTAGTCACATATATTTGGATTTATTATGATATACAGTTACAGTTTACTGTGCAGAGTACCTTACCTGGTACTCTGAATTTTTTTTTTTTTTGGAGGAGGAAGAGAGCAACAAATTAGAATATATTTCTAAGTATCTTAGATTCTGAGAAAGACTTATTGTACATTATTTGAACCCCATCAGTATTGTTTTGAGTAATTGTGTTGTTCCTTACCCTTAAGTATTCCTGTAAAAGTGTAAGCATGAAAGGTTAAAGTGTCTTTTATTCTTTGCTGTTTGAAAAGAGAAGTACTTGGAACTTCCTCTTCAACCATTTTGTCTACACCAACCCTTTGGAACCTTATGCTTTGGAACCTAATGCTGTGTAAGCTTTTACAATATGTGGATTGGCCTTTTGTGACCCAAAGTGGTTGGTTGCCACATTGTACCTTGCAGTGATTGTCATGCAAAAATATTACAAGTTTGTTTTTTTTAAACCAACTTGATGTGTGTTTGATAGCAAATTTACAAAAGCTGAAACTTTTCCCTGTAAATGTTATGCTTCTTGCCTTTAAAAAGTGGATTGCAACCATCACTAGATCACAGTAGTGCCTACTGATGATTGAGAACAAGAGGGAGAGGCTTTTATGTTGTAAATAAGGATGCAGGCTTACAACTTCCATCACTTCCTTTGTGCGCTTCCTGCCTTAAGAGACAAGTAGCAGTGTGGCTTCATTAGTATTATACTGCCACAAATCATTTTGCACCTTGGGTGCCCAGGAGCTAGTATCCTTAGAGCTTTCTATTGCTTAATTATTGTCTTCATCTGTCTGACCCTCCACCCCGTGTCTAACTTCCATTTTAAGAATTTAAAAAAAAAAAAAAACTTTCTTTACAGTCAACTTAACATGGACTCAGGTTCCCCAGCAGCCTTAATTTGTTTACTTACCATCTGTTCCTCCCTCTTTCAACCCTTCTAAGTATTTCCGAGCTACCCATTAGTGTCATGTTTGTGTGATAACCTCAGTTTTCCACTTAATCACAAATCGACCTCATAGCTTGAGGTTTCCTGTTCTGTGGACCACTTGTGTTCCTTTTCTTCCCCTCCCCTTGCATAATGACTATTAAATTTTTTGGCTTTGAGTTGGCTGGAAAAAAAATTTTTAAATGTAAGTGGATCTATAGATTAAGTGAGCAAAAGATAACAGCAGATAATTTGAGCAAGCAAAATTATTAATTCCCACATTGCTGGAGGAATGTGTCTAAATCTCACTCTCCTAGATCCACAATGGTTGGGGCTTGGGAAGTGTATGTCAGAGCTGCAGGGAATGCCAAAGTCCAGGGAGGTTGTGTTGAAAGCATGAAGCAGAGATGGGAAAGCCAAAGGGAGTCCTAATACATCACCAGATCTAGGAGGGTAAGGAAGCAGACAGAAGGAAACATGGAAAGCAGGGCTTTAGAAGGCCAGGTTAGTGGGAATGAACTGAGCAGGATCCCCTGGGCAGTTAAGAAGGGGCCTTTTCAGTGTAGGTAAGAGCCAGCTGCATACAAAGACCTGAGGTCGGAATAGACATCCAAGGAGCATTGAGGCCCCACATCACAGGAGGACCCTTTAGAAGGGAACCAGCATTGGTATTATTGGGGCGAATTTGGGTTTATCACTGTTGGCAGTATTAAACAACTTGCTTAATGTCAGGGTGTCCATTCCAACCTTATATTAGTGAAAAATTAGGAACAACATAAATGCCAAACAGCAGAATGATTACATGAAGGTATCCATGGGCTGTTATGCAGCTGTTTAAAAATGATAATCATGAAGAGTTATGTAGCAACGTGGAAATATATTTACAGAATATTGAGTGGAAAAAGCAGGACACAGAATTATATTTATACTACAATTATAACTGATTAAAAATGTATGCTTATAGTCAAAAGCTGTTGTGTTGTTGTTGTAGGCTTATAGTTGAGCATTATTTTCTTAAATTCTTTGTTCTTTATGGTAGTGTTACTAAAAGGTTTATAATCATGTTTCCATTGTGAACATAATTTGAACTCATTATCAGACACTTGGAAAATACAGAAAAGTGGAGGAAAAAATCCATATTCCAACCATCCAAAGACAAATACACTCTTCAACATCTTGTTTATTCTTGTTTCTGTGCACAGGTTTATAATTATAACTGTGTCAAAATGTGTATTCAAAATAGCTATTACGTTATCTTTGTGGAATTATGGTTAAATACTTTCATCTTAATGTTTTCAAATGTTCCTTATAATAGTGTTCTGATAACAAAGTTTATTATGTTTGTTTCCATTACAAGCATAATACATACCGAGAGGAAAAATTGGAAAATGCAGTAAATTAGAAAAGAAAAAAGTCACCCATATACCCAACACCCAACAACTACTGTTAACATCTTGATCTATTTCCTCCATCTTGTTTTAGTGCACAAGCTTGTGATTATACTGGTATTAAATATGTATGCATAAAGTCTAAAAAATATGGAAAATAATTAAAATAGTGTTGTCATTGTGGGATTATGGTTAAATATATTGTCTCAAATTCCTTGAATGACCTTTGGTGTTTTGGTATTAAATCTTATGTATGTATTTCTCCATCACAAATGTAATACATACTCATAGCAAACTGGAAAATTCAGTAAACTAGAAGAAAAGAAGAAATTCATCCATATTCCCAACACCCAGCAACAGTTGCTGTTAACATCTTGATTTGTGCACCAGTCTATAATAATTAGGATGTTAATGAGAGTATACATAGAGTTTAAAGATGGGAAGAAATATGGAAAACAGTTAAATAGTTGGGTGGTTGTTGTGGGATTATGGTTAAATATTTTGTGTTGGTTTCCTCAACTGGTCTTTATCATAGTGTTTTGGTAATCTACCTTTATTACATATATTTCCATTATAAACACTGTATGTATTCATTATAGAAACTTTGAAGTTGCAGAAATGTAGAAGAGAAACTCACCCATATTTTCACCATCCAAAGACTGTGGTTAACATCTTGATATATTTTCTTCATCTTGTTTCTGTGCACAGGTTTTTGGTTTGTTAATATGGTTGTGGCTGTTCTATCTATCTGTAATAGTGTCGACAATAAAAATAAAGTTAAAAATAAGGTATGTGTCAGTTTCTTCTTTTGTCCATTCTAAGTGTTTGGGGTTGGTAAATAGGGTTTTTTGTTATAAATCCAAAAGTTTAGTGCCCCCTTAGGCCTTTTAAGTTTGGCTTACAAGTCTTACTCCATTTTTCAAAAACTCCTTCTTAGATATTTTAATACTACATAGTTCCACATTTTTAAAAAATTGTTTTAAAGGTTTTATTTATTCATGAGAGACACAGAGAGACAGAGGCAGAAGCAGGCTCCTTGCAGGGAGACTGACGTGGGACTCTATCCCGAATCCCGGGATCACACCCCAAGCCAAAGGCAGATGCTCAACCACTGAGCCACCCAGGCGTACCACCACATTTTTTTTTTTTTACCACCACATTTTTAACTGCACTCTATTCCAGTAGTGTTTTTAAACTTGATATAAATACAAATATATTTCAGTTACTTAAGTCAGCATTTTTAATTTTTAATCTTAAATATGAGATTCTCTCAAGCAAAAAACGATAAACAAAAGTGACCCCTTAACATAAAAATGTTAATACTGTGGTTCAGAAGATTTATTTATTTATTTATTTATTTATTTATTTATTTATTTATTTTTAAAGGTTTTATTTATTTATTCATGAGAGTGTATACATAGAGAGAGGCAGAGACACAGGCAGAGAGAGAAGCTCCATGCAGGAAGCCCGATGCGGGACTCGATCCCGGGACTCCAGGGTCACGCCCTGGGCCAAAGACAGGCGCTAAACCGCTGAGCCACCCAGGGATCCAAGAATATCTCTTTAAAAAAAAAATTGTGGGACACCTGGGTGGCTCGGCCTTTTGGCACCTGCCTTTGGCCCAGGGCATGATTCTGGGGTCCCGGGGTCAAGTCCCATATCAGGCTCTCTGCATGAAGCCTGCTTCTCCCTCTGCCTATGTCTCTGCACCCCCCTCTCTCTTTCTCTCTCTGTCTCTCATGAATAAATAAAGTCTTTTAAATAAATAAAAGTAATTTTTTTTTGACAGAGCACAAGCAGAGGGAGCAGCAGGCAGAGGGATAGGGAGGCTCCCCGCTGAGTAGGGAGTCAAATGCGGGGCTCAATCCCGGGACCCTGGGGTCATGAGCTGAGCCAAAGGCAAATGATTGACTGAGCCACCCAGGTGCCCGTAGAATCTCTAAAGTGTCTATTCCTAACTCTTCCTGGAGGTTAAAAATTTTCAAAGGAGTCATTTCCCTTATTTTAACTTGACTTCACCACCTAAAACATCTCCCACAACTTGGTAGGTTACCATCCCAGGTAAATTGGGAGGTAATTTTTAAACACGCCTGTAATTCCATTATGACCAGAGATTTTTGGCCAGGCTGCTAACTGGGTATAACTGTGGTTTGCATCCCAACAAATTTGGAATTGCTGTGTCCTTGACTCCATGACACAAAGGAGATGGTTATATACTTGACCCCTTATAATCCACATGTCACACGATTGAATTCTCCTTAAGATAAAGTGTGGTTTTCATTTAGTTCTAACCACTCTGGAATTTGACAGTGGCAGAGTCCTGGGTTCTTTCATATTCTTAGGTTAACTTATTTGTATTAAATGAAAGTCCATTGAATTATGGTTATCTCTTGTAAAGGTCTGATTCCTTGGTCACAGCTTTGATGACCCTTCTATGGTGAGGGGTATCAGCATAGTTCAGGGTGAGCTTCAGTTCTCTTTTAAGATTGATTTCCTGAAGAGTATATTACAAAAGGAATAGAGGAAGGGAATTAAGTGACAGTCATTTGGGATTGCGTGACCAGCATGTTCAGTCTTAAGGAATTCCTCCACTGTGTGTCACTAAAAAGTTAAGGGAGAGTCTAGGTAGCCATGCCCCAGCCTATTCCATGAAATTTGACTCCCCCCTGATCTCAACTGATTGGTGATCTTGTACTCCCAGTGTGCAGTCAGACTCAGATGATGTGCTACTTGATGGGTCATAGGTTGGGACTGGGTGTGCTGATGAATAAACAGACCTGGAATAAAGCCCTATAGCTGGAGGGAAGCTTGGCCCCTGGTGCCTCACCTACCCCAGTACCTTGTGGATCCTGGCTGAACTGCCCACTTTGAGGTTTCCCAAGAACTCCTGTATCTTTAACCTTTCTCACATGAGCTGGCTTTGTTATTGTATGGTTTTTGCTGTTTTTACCAACCAAAAAAAAAAAAAATCCTTTTCTCTTTCTGAAGACTACTCAGTTGTGTGGGTATGCCATAATGTCCTGTCCCTACCTCAACCAAAGGCTGAGCCTGGTTCTGTTGGGCTCCCTGAGCAGGACACACAGGAAGTCATTCCAGTGATAGCATTTACTGTTATTAGTTCCTGTATAGATAGAGCTGTTCTGGTAACTGTCCTTGAGAACTGTTTAGTTTCTTCTTTGATTCTCTGGGTGACCCAGTATCTTAGTCTATGCCTTATTTGCTTTACTATCCAGTGTTAGTTGCAACCCAAAAGGGCCCTGATAAGGAAATTGATACCAGAGAATGTGTTGGAGATAATAAATCTGACGGAAATGTGGGATACTTAGAATTCAATGTTGGGTCTTGGGATGGGAAGCTAGAAGACCAAGGCATGTGGCAGTAAAATAACTAATTAGCGCCTGTGGTTGGCCTTCAGGAGTCCATCTTCTTCCTGAGGTGAAGGGCTTAATAGCTGTCATCATAGACAAATTCAGAAACTATGAGGAGTGTCCAGATCAGAGATATAGAAGGGTTTCTGCAAACACCTTGATCCTGCAAGTCAGACTTACTCAGCTGAATTGGTAGCCTTGTTCTATTTGTAACATGAAAAGTTCGGGTGGCCCTAGGGAAATAGGATCCTGGCAGTTGGAATAATGGTGTGTAGGAGATTTGGAAAGATTGAGACATTCAAAGCTCCAACCCCTTTGAAACACTCCCCATTTTTTAAAAAAGATTTATTTATTTATCCAGAGAGAGACAGAGAGAGGCAGAGACACAGGCAGAGGGAGAAGCAGGCTCCATGCAGGAAGCCCGACGTGGGACTCGATCCCGGATCTCCAGGATCACACCCCAGGCTGCAGGCAGCACTAAACTGCTGCGCCAATGGGGCTGCCCACTCCTCATTTTTTTTAAAAAAAGATTTTATTTATTTATTCACGAGAGACACAGAGAGGCAGAGGGAGAAGAAGACTCCCAACAGGGAGCCCGATGTGGAACTCAATCCCAGGACCCAGGATCACAACCTGAGCCAAGGGCAGATGCTCAACCCCTGAGCCACCCAGGTGTCCCAAAACACTCCCCATTTTATCACTTCTCTCCCACACAAGATAAGTTGAGGGGGTGCCTGTGGGAGGGGCAACATTTGAAATGCTCTGTGATCTCCATGGTGGTGGGAGGAAACAGTATTGAAAAGGGGGGCTGCTTCTCACAGGAGGCATGGATGCTGTAATGAGATCCTAGGGGAGTGGACATAGAAATTTGGGTTTCTTGATGCCCCTCCCCCAATTATTTATATAACAAGCTAAAATGTAGATTTGAAAAAGGTGGACAAGAACTACTCTACTGGAGTCATAACCTCCTTGAGTCAGTTTATAGACATTTAAGGGAGAGTTCAGGGACCTTTGAGGAAGGACTCTGCTATGACAATTCTGCCTTCCACCTAGCCTTCTGCAAAGGGACTTGCAGCCTTTTACATAGATAATCCATTTTTTGACAGACAAACCTCCCAAGCACTAGTGGATGTTGCACCTAAAGAAACTAATTATTGGGGATCAGAACATTGTGACTTGAAGAGAAGCTAAAAATATAACAGGCTGTCTGTGGGCAAGCCAGCTACTGAGAACTGGGCTCTGCACATCTTAAGCATTTGTTTTCAAGATCTTATTTATTTGAGAGAGCATGAGCATGGGGGAGGGGCAGAGGGAGATGGAGAGGCAGATTCCCTGTTGAGCAGGGGAACCTGATGTGGGGCTGGATCCCAGGACCCTGGGATCATGACCTGAGCAGAAGGCAAACACTTAACTGATTGAGCCACCCAGGTGCCCTGGGCTCTGCACATCTTATTTACATCTTCCAAATTCTTCACTTGGTTTAAATCACTCCTCCCCTGGGAAGACATGAATGAGAAAGAAGCCAGGACTGGTTCTATATCCACCCCACACCAGCCAGACCTCTGGGGGCAGGTGGATCACACCGACCTCCTTTCATCTTGAGAGAGCAATGTTTTATCCTCAATGGAACAGAAATTTGTTCTTGATTTACACTTTTCTTTCCCTGCCCACCCACCCACCTCTTCTCAACATCTGTGGGCTTGCACACACCACTTTTGTGCTATATGTAGCAGTTGTCAATCACAATAATACTGCGTAACAATCAACCATGAAACCTGAATAACAGTATTTGTTTCTCACACATCTAACTAAGATCAGCTCAGAATTGGGTGGGAGGCTCTGCTTATCTTAGTTGGGCTTGTTCTCTTGCTTGGGAATTGGCTGGTTGTCAGCCAGTGTAAGCTAGTTATAGCTGGGGATGTGAGGCTCTTAGCTACATGTCTCTTAACTTCCTGAGACTAGTGGACTACCTCCTTGTGGTGGTAGCAGAAGTATAATTCAAAATAATCATCTTTAAGAAGGTCAATGAGTTAGGGGTGCTGGCTGGCTCAGCTGGAGGATCCAGGGTCATAATCTCTGGGTCGTGAGTTTGAGCCCCAAATTGGGGGTAGAGATTACATTAAAAAATATATATATATATATATATATAAATAATTTGTTTTTAAAAAAGCTCACTGAGAATAGAACATGGATAGACCGTGAAATCAGGAAAATGATACATGAACAAACATAATATCAACAAAGACATAGGAATAAAAAAATACAAAGATAACCCAAACACTGGATCTGAGGAATGCAATGACAGAAAAATATATGAGTTCAAAAGCAAACTTGATCAAATAGAAGAAAAAAAATGAGTGAACTTGAAGACAAAGTCTTTCAAAATGATCCTGTCGGAGGAACAAAAAGAATGAAAAAG